AATTTTCCTGTCGTTGGGCCCAACGGTTTAAACAACGAAATAAGTTAACAAAACACGCTCGAATACAAGTAGCTCAGAAAATCCCTGAGGATATGCCTGTGGTTGTCAAAAATTTTCTTAAAATGTCATGTGAAAAAACGCATAGCATTGAAAAAAAATATATTTTATCATTTGATGAGACTCCTATGTGGTTTGATATGCCACAGGATTCAACAATCGATTTTAAAGGTATTTGTGAAGTGCCAGTCAAGACCACTGGCAATGAAAAATTATGATTTACTGTAGTTTTAGGTTACATGGCAGCTAGAAGAAACTTCCACCTTTAGTAATTTTTAAGTTAAAAAAAAGCCAAAAGGCAGATTCCCACAAGACATTGTAGTAGCACCAGCACCATCCACATGCATAACTGGAAATTTGATGATTTCTACATATATTTTCTGAATCATTAGAGCTAGACCAAATGGATTTTTTAAAAACAAAGGAATAATTTTTGTAAATACACATCGTAGCTATAATCGTAATGATGTAACTAGAGCATTGAAGACAGAAGGCTTAGATGTGTTAGAAATACCCAGGGGTACTACCAGTGTTTTACAACCACCAGACATCTCTGTTAACAGGCCCTTTAAAAATGGTATTAGTAAAGATTTTATTAAATTGGTAGAAAAAATGTTAAAACTTTTTTTTTTTTTTTTTATACTATCTCTAGATATGAGAAGTAAATGGGAAGAATGGATAAATAAAGAGAAAAAATATATACCAAGAAAGGAAATCGAAAAAAAGTGTCATATGAGTATGTAAATGGGTGTCCAAAACATGAAAAGAGATTAGCCCAAATCTTTTAATTAAATCTTTTGAAGCTACTGGACTCATACTTAATCTAGATGGTAGTGAAAACGATAAGATGTCGGGCTGTCTCAAGGCTATTGTTGAAAATCAGTTGAATGAACTGTCAATTGAAAATATACAAACAGAAAATCCAAATAATAATAATGGTAGGGTTGCGATTTACCGTGATTTTACGTAATTTTGTGAAATTTTTCGCAAGTTTTCAGTAACAGTTTTCATGTAATTTGTATCATATGCTTATATGATTGGTTGGATCATATGTACATCAATTTGATCAGTGCAGAATCTACTGTAGTTCAACAATGCTAGCTGTGTTTTTCATAGTGTATCATATGTGAAATTTACATGAATCCACGTTACTGAAGATTACGTGAAATTATATATATTGTAAGTTTGTAAAATGTAATTTTCAACTCTAGATAATAGTGAGCCGTATGATGATAAACCATATTATGATGAGCCATATTATGATGAGCTAGATGGTGATGAAATTGATGGTGATGAAATAGATTATGAGCTGGATGGTGATGAAATGGATTATGAGCCGAATGATAGTGAATTGGAATATTTGGACAAAAATATTATAGACATAGATGGCTATAATATTATAGACATAGATAGTTATGAAGAAACGCAGACAATTGAAATTGATTAATAATACAGTAATAGCATTTGATCAATTAACGAATAAATTTTTTGAATAACATTTACACTTAGATTCAAAAAATACCATAAATGCTTATTGCTATTTTTTTTTTATACCTCATTATTTTTGAATTTAAATAATTCGTATAGATAAGCAATTAACTACTGTATTTGTTCTCTTTTGCATGTTTAACTAACGAAGCAACTACTTTAATTATAGTGACCTATGTTTTTATGATTTTCTATTATATTAAATCCAATTAGCATATTTAATATATTACAAAACAAATGTTAGAACGTGTTAGATTAGGCAATGCATCAGTGGTCAGCTAGAACATTTTAAACCAATTAAAGATCTAACTCTTACTGGACATACTGCGCATTAGTGGGTCTTTAAATTATTAATTTTAATTTATATAAAAACTTTATAGGGTATGATGAAAAAATATGAAGAATC